TGGCAATAATTAGTAATGCATCTTGTTTGTATGCTTGATCAATGTAAGATGGTAGTCATAGGTAAAATTCTTCAGTTTCTGCATCACTAGTCTTAGTGGTTGATGCATAAATTTAAATAATAGTTGTATTGACTGAATTTCCTTGTTGAAGACATATATTATCCTATCACAGACAGCATTGTACTTCAAGATGGATTTTGAAATACTCCTTTGATCATGGATGTAACTCCATTCCAATCAAATTTGCCCTTTTTGGCATAGTAAATCATATGTTATGTGATTTTAAATGGCCAATACCAGTCCATTTCAGCTCACTAATACCTAGAATACAAATCTTTGTGCGTTCTGTTTCTTTTTTATTGATTTCAATTGTCCTATAGTCACACTTTGTACAATCCAAATTCCAATTATTATTTGCTGTTTGCAGCTGTTTCTTCACATTTTGAGTCATACCCCATCAACAAATGACAAATCTGAAGGCTTTACTCCTATTGGCTTCACTCCGTCAGTATGATCCACTCTACTTTGAGAAGGCAGCTCTTCCTCAGTCGTATTTTGGGTGCTTTCTGACCCAAGGGGCTCAGCTTCTGGCACTATCTCTGAAAATGTTCTGCTGCTGTTCTTGAGGCTTTCACTATATGACAAGGTGTCACTGCTATTCACAAAGGTTTCACATGATCAGTTATAACATTATTAGTAACTGAGCAGAACCCTTTAGAAATTTTATCCTTTGCCTTTAAGTACGATATCATTTAAAAGCTATTGATATAATTTCATAAATACTAATTACTAAAATAATATTATAGATAGGACACCAGAAACTTTGACAAAGTCAACAACTACAAAAATATTTGCTGTGATGAAAACAATAGCACTTATTTCATAGAGACTGCAGAATACCTCTTTTGAAATCTCTTTATAATTATGCAATAATAACACCCCTTGAAAAGCAAATTAATACAGAGATTTAACCTTATAGGCATTGGAAGCACTTTTTTTGTCTATGCTAGAAATTTTGGCCAACTGGTTGGAAGAGACAATATTTGTACCCCCATCCAAAGAAAAGTGATCCAACAGAATGCAGAAATTATCACGTAATATCCTTAATACCACATGCAGCTAAAATTTTGCTGACGAGTTTTCAAGAACAGTTGAAGCAGTACATACACAGGGGAGGTGCCAGAAATTCAAGATGGGTTATAAAGAGGACACAGAGTGGAGGGATATCATTAATGACATCAAAAGGATCTTGGATGAAAGCAGAGACTACCAGAAATATTATTGTCTATACAAAGACATTAGACTGTGTGGATTATAACAAACTATGGCTAGCATTGTCAATAATAGGAATTCTAGAACATGTTATTGTGCTCATGGAGAACCTGGACTTGAACCACAAGGTAGTCATCTGAACAGAACAAGGGGATATGGCACGGTTTAAAATCAGGAACGTGTGTATCAGGGTTGCCTCCTTTTACTATACTTATTTAATCCATATACTGAGGAAATAATCAGAGAAGATGGATAATAGAAGAAGAATGGAGCATTAGTATGGGAGGAAAGCTTAACAACTTACGGTATGCGAATGACACAACTTTGAATTCTAAAATTGAGGAGGACTTGAAACTCTTGCTCATGAAGATCAAGGACTGATGCTGTCAGTATGGACTGCAATTCATTGTAAAGATAATCCAAATCCCCTCAACTAGACCAACAGATAGCGGTATGATAAACAGAAAATGATTGAAAATGTCAAGGATCTTAGTTTACTTGGATCCATAATCAATGCTCCTGGAAATAATCAGTGAATAAATCAAACAACATATTGCATTAGACAAATCAACAGCAGAAGACTTCTTTACAGTGTTGAAGCGAAAGGGTGTAACTATTAGGACTAAGGTGTGATTGGTCCCAATAATGGTATTTTTAATTTCCTCATGTACAAATGAAAGTTGGACAATTAATAAGAGGGACAAAAATGAATTTATGCATTTGAGTTATGGTTCTGGTAAAAAATATTGAAAGTGCCATGGAATGCCAGTAAAGCCAACAAATCTGTATTGGAAGAAATACAGCCATAATGCTCCATGGAAGTGAGAATGACGAGACCGCAGGTCATGTACTTTGGACATTTATCAGGAGAGATCAGTACCTGGAAAAGGACATTATATAAAAGGGCAGTAAACAAGAGCACGACACACAATAAAATGGATTGACACAGTTGCTGCAACTGGGAGACAAAGGGCACTTATAGAGGTCTA